AAAAAATGAAATAAAAATAAGGAAAAAGCGAAGAATAAAGCAGGTTGGAAAAAACGTGATACCAGGGGCGTGGGCCGGGGACTCCAGGAAAGCACTTGAGGGGCAGACTAACAGAGGCCGTGCGGACCAGTGGACGGGGTATTAGATTGGAACGCAGGAAACCTTGGCTCTGCCACTGGCCTCCTGTGAGACCTTGACGGAGTCATTCTCCTGCTCTGTGCCTCAGTTTCCCCTCCCACCCTTTGTCTAGACCAGACAACCTATGGCACGCGTTTCAAAGGCGGCACACGAGCTGATTTTCAGTGCCACTCACGCAGCCCGGGTCCTGGCCACCGGTCCGGGGGACTCTGCATTTTAATTTAATTTTAAATGAAGCTTCTTAAACATTTTAAAAACCTTATTTACTTTACATACAACAATAGTTTAATTATATATTATTGACTTATAGAAAGAGACCTTCTAAAAATGTGAAAATGTATGACTGGCACGCGAAACCTTAAATCAGAGTGAATAAATGGAGACTCGGCACACCACTTTGAAAGGTTGCCGACCCCTGGGCTAGACAGACTAAGCGCTTGGCGGCAAGGGCTGTCTCACACGATGAGCTGTTCCTGCCAGAAGGGGGCGCTGATTTCAGCCTGTGCATTAGCACAAATACTGAACAGTAGGGCAGAGAGTTAACAGCCTCTCTATCGCCCCCCACAGAGAGTGGGCCAAAGAACACATATGGGCTGGTTCTGAAGGGCTCCCAGACTCTGCGTCTGCCTTAATGAAACAGAAGAAAATCTATCCCTGCTGCTAGTATTAACACCTAGCTCTTAAGTGCTTTCCATCCATCAATCAAGGCGCTTTCCAAAAAAAGTCACTATCATTACCCCCATTTGACATATGGGGAAACTGAGGCATGGGGGGGGGGAATATCAAGGTCATCCAGCAGGCCAGTAGCAGAACCAGGAGTAGAACCCAGGTCACACACTAGTGCGCTATCTACTAGGCCACACTGTCTCCCCATGTTCCTCTTTGCTCTCTTCCCCTGTCACTCAACCCCAGTAGCGGGAAATTTATGTGTCTACTACCGACGCTCGGTTAATTGAGCTGTCCCTTTAGCGGCTGGAGCAGAAATTCAGACTTTTTCATCAAGAGGTCATGACTTCAATCCCCCCTTCCCACCCAAGGCAGCACCACACTTGGGGGAGAACACAAGAATTCCTCCCCACTTGAGAGTTAATTCAATGCAGCATCCCCACCAGAGAAGCCAGACTGCTCCTGAAAAAGTCGGAATCAATCCCAGCAGCAGTTCATGGAGGGACATGCAGCCAGCCTTACCATGATGTTCTGGAAGGTGTAGTGGACTGGATCCGGG